CAGGCTCAAGGAAGAGCTTGAGTTCTCTGGGCACCAGGGCTCTGGGACGTTCTCTGCTCTGAATCAAGGAGCCGGGAGCCAGGATACTCTGCACCCGGGCGGGGGTTGTAGGCACGCAGGTAAGTCCCCGAGGGCAGAGGGATCCAGAAGCCCAGGTCCATGCAGGCCAGTGGGGGCAGCTCCAGGGGGTGGTCCTGGGGGTGGCGGGCAGGGGGAGCCTTGCTGTGGCCCTGTTGTGGGGGTGGGGGTTCTGGGCGGCCCAGGAGGACCCAGGCCACCACAGTGTTTTCCGAGCACTGCCTCCCCAACCTCCGCCTGGCTCCCGGCCCTGCTGTGGGGCCGGGACGGTCCATCAGGAACCATCTCTGCTCCTTTTGTGATCTCCCTGGGACCACGGCTGGTGCCCAGGCCCAGATTTCCTAATGGATTTCTACTGATTCAGATGTTTCTGACAGAGGCTGTCTTTAGCCTTCTGTCCCTGAGCCACAGAGGTCTCTGGTCTGTCTCCATCTGAGCCTTCACTTCTGCAGGCCCTCCACCCACTGTCGCTGGCTCCTTCCCATGATCCTCTGTGCTTGTTCGACCCTCTCCCTTCCCCAGACCAAACCCTCTCTCCCTCGCTTTAGGAATGAAGTCCCTTCAGACGGCATCTTATCTTCCCCTCCCTCCTCATCTCTTGCTGTCTTAGGTTCCCACTTCTCATTTACTTTTCAAGCCAATAAAAATCGGCTTCCAGGTGTTGAGTCTCTGACTCAAGCTTTTGACGACATGGAAACCCCCCTGTTGGATTCCCTGTCCCTCCTTCCTCCCCTCTGACCTGGCTGGCTACTCTCCATCTCCCCCCCCCAACCCCCCGTGGTCTGGTCGTTCTCCTGGGCCCCTCCTTTCCCCGGGAGTGCTTGCGGGTTGTATCCGAGGCCCTCCTCCTCTCCCTCCACAGGCTGCCCTGCGTGAGCTCATCCTCCCCGTGACTTTGATTACCATCCAGAGGCCCATGACCTCCTCTCCAGCGTGGGCTTGCCTCCCCAGCGGCAGAACCATACCCCGACATATATACGCTTGGGGACGTCTCCGCTTGGGTGCCTCATAGGCCTCCATCTCCCTATGTGCAAAATGGAACGCACTGTAAACACCCCCTCCCCGCCTTCCTGCCGTGGTCACTCCCTCAGTGAACAGAGACCCAGTTGCCTGTCAGAAATCTGGCTGATTCTTGCCTCCCCTCTCTCTCACCCTCCCAGGTCAGTCCTCCTGTTGGATTTGACCCACTTGCCCATTTTTTCCCTCCTCATTAGGTTCCTGGTCTATCCCCAATTTCCTTCCCCGGGGCCCCCATGCTAAGGTGGGGGGCCTGCCTCTGTTTTAGCCTCCTCCCAGACTCCCTGCCTCCGGGCCTGCTCCAGCCTGCTGGTCGGCTCAGCTGGTCTGGGCTCTGCGAGTGCTGCTGCTTTCTGTCTGGCATGTTCCCCGACCTCCAAGGTTCCCTCAGCCTCGCCTTTCTGAAGATTAGGGTCATGGTTAAAAGGGGTGGTTCAGGAGCGGGCAGAACTGTTTTGAATGCACCAGCTCTGTGCCTTTGGGCGGATTTCTTAATTGCACACTAAGCCTCAGTTCCTTCCTGTGTAAACGGTGTCCATTGTGTCACAGATTGTCGTGAATCAAGCGTGTATCTCTAGCTGCTTTTGCATTCTAGAGAAAGGCGCTAATGGCTGGCAGGGAGACAGGGATCCTTGTTTTGGAAAAGGACCCTTTTGAGTGTGACAGATAAACATCTCTAGCCAGCCCTCGCCCCCAGAGGAAAGTGCGGGCAGAGCGAGCCAAACTGGTGTGGGACAGGTGTGAGGGGGCCCAGCAGCCGGACTGGAGGGTAGAGGCTGAAGACACAACTCAGGAGGTGTGGAGGGCAGAGGAGAGACTTGCAGGGACAGGAGGTCTGGCTTTTTAATTTCAAGCTGTTTGCTAGGCTCAGAAAACTTCCGTCTCTTCTCCAGTTACTCCCAACTTTCAGTAAAATTCTCTTAAAGTTTCTGCCTTCTGTCAGTAATGTTCGGCATGGGGGGCGGGGGCGTAATGAAGGAAAAGGCAGAACCTCCCCCCACCCTCTTCCAGGCAGCCTTCCTGGATTCTCTCTGCCCCCACCCCAGGTCTGGTTTCAGAATCCCCACTTCTGCAAGTCAACATGAAGACAAAAAGACATGGACTCCGGAACTCAGGGCAAAATTGAGAAAGAAGAGGAAATCAGAGTGGGGCGGGGAGGGGAATTAAGAAAATGCCAGGTAATTCCTGGCAATTCTCAGGAATCTTGGAGAGCATGCAGAGTGGAGCCATGTTTGAATATTAAAGGAAAGAGTGACTCCAGAACCCCTAAAAGGGCTTCAAGAGAGCATGTGGATCATTCAGAATCAAACTAGATAATGTATCTAAAGCTCTCAGCACTGGGCCCAACACATAGGGCACTCTTAGAAGTTTAGGAGTTACTATTCTTAAAAAAAAAACACATAATAATGTCCTAGTTTATATGTATCGAGGAAACAAAGACCTCAGAAGTGAGGTGGGCACCCGTCTGCAGGGGCAGGTGCAAGACATCTCTTTGTATCTTCTCTTGCTACCCAGTCTCCCTGGTGACTCTCCCCAAGCAAGGGACAGTCTTACTCTCTCTGGAAATGTCCATTTTTGTTGTTGTTGGTGCCAACAGTAATTATTAACTAACTGTAGTTACAATAACAACACTACTCTTCTTCCTCTGGGTTCCCAGAGCATTTCGTGTCTGTCCCCACTTCTCTTGCTGAGCGCCAGTCTTAAATGACTATTTTTCTACTTAGGCCTGAGAAAGCTGGCTGATTTTCACATGTGGTTTATGGAAATGGAATTACTATTTTTTGGTTCCGTCATGTATTCCTGTCTCCTTCCTCCAATTATACTGTAAGCTCTTTGAATCAGGAATTGAACGGACAGTTCTCTTTGGATCCTTTTGTTTTAGGCACGTAGCGGCTCCGTAGATGTCTGTTGCAACGGTGGGTGTTAATTCCGTCCCCTGCCGGGCCGAGAGCCCACACTTGGGCAGAAGAAGGCTGGGATTGGCCCAGAAGCCCCTGCTCTGGCTTTGCCTATGTTTTCATGCCAGTCTCTTGAGGGAGTCTTTGCTGCCCAGATGTGGTGGTGAAGAGAAGGAGACTAATCATCTCTCTTCTCTCTGTCACGCCCTTTCCTCCTTCCTAACCACCCTCCTCCATGTGCCAAAGGGAGAATTGTAACTGGCCTGTGGAGTCATAGTGAGCTCATTTCCCTTCCCAATGAATGATTTAGGCAAGGACATGGCTGTGTGACCCAATTCTCACTACAGAGGTGGAGGAGAAGCCTGGGGGCGTCTGGGAAAGATTCCCTCCCTCTGAAAAAGACAGAAGAAAAGCTGGTCTCTTTTCCTATTAGACATTTGAGCCTGCATGTGATGGTTGGAACCGTGGCAGCTATCTTGTGACCATGAGGGGAGCTGACTTAAAGGCAAGGTGCATAGACTGAGGCTAATGGGGCAGAAATATGTAAAAACAAAACAAAACAAATAAACATACCAGCAAGCAAGCAAGCAAGCAAACAAACAGGAATTGATGCTGTCACTGAACGGCTGAGTTAACCAGCTGTGGAGCTACATCTACCAACTTAAGCAAATCTCCAAAGCTGTTAACCTCATTTAAAACAGGCTGTCAGAACTGAGGGTTGCTGGAGCGGGGGGTGGGGTGGGAGGGATGGGGTGACTGGGTGATAGACACTGGGGAGGGTATGTGCTCTGGTAAGCGCTGTGAAGTGTGCAAGACTGTTGAATCTCAGATCTGTACCTCTGAAACAAATAATGCAATATATGTTAAGAAAAAAAAAGAAGAAGAAGGTA